TTAACATATTTCCAAACCATCTCTTCCTGTCAGGCTGACATTTTCTCTTCACTGTAAACACTTCTCTCCCTAACCTCTGAGCCCTGCCCGGCTAAAGGTCCCACAGGAGCAGCTTTTATCTGTTGTAGTGAAACCTGAGTGGGGTTACATGGTCAGCTATTTGAACAGTAAATCTATTTGTGTGATCATATAATAGCAGGTAAGCAACACTTAGCCTTGTTTGTCTGCTTTGGCCGCCCTTGGCAAACACAGTTAGCTCATATGCATGCTCACATCTACAGACTGAAAAATAAGCTCACAAATAATAACTTTGGGGGTCCATAATAAGTGACGAGCTCTGAGGAAATTAGTCAAGGGGCTTTGGAGAGAAAAACTCATTAGAAAGTAAAGTATATTCTTCTGGTATTTACCTTGCTGATTGTCCCAGCACAAAAAAGAAAATGTAATTTCTTATTAAATTTGACATAGTCCTTGGAGAAAGCAGAATTTATTATCACATTTCTGCATAAGCGGATTCCTGTGCTGTTGCAAATGAAATGAAGGCTTATAATGATCAACATAATAAAACAGAGGACCGGGTGATGTTTTGCTGAATCTGACACATCAGTCTGGTTGAGGCACTAAACACTGTGACTGGACATGTTGTCCTCATCTGCTCTCAATGGCACCTGGATGTAGTGTCCTTGTTATCGAGGATGCAGAGGAGGGAGAACAAAGCCCTCCAAACGTCAGCGTTGGCAGTTTTAATTTGGAGAATGGATCTAATTCTAGGAGGAAAATGTATTATCATTAGGTATTAAATAAATGTTGTGAAGTAAAAGCACACCATTTACCTCTGAATTGTAGTGGGGTAGAAGTACAAAGTAGCAAAACATTGGAATCAACTCAAATAAAGTAGTCCCTCAAGAAAAAGTACTTAAGTACAGTTCTTGAATACATGTACTTAGTTACTTTACACCACTGAGGCTGTGGAATAAAAATGCACGTACTTGTAGGTTATCTGTCGCCACTTTCTTTGTTTTTTTCCAGACTCTCTAAATACGCACTTTTTTTTAGAGAGGGTTAGGGTTAGGGTTAGGGATAGTATATTTTTGTGAAAATGGCGACATGATAACACTCACCTGTATTTGTGAAAAAGTTGGAAAATGAAATTAAAAAGTGGTGACAGATAACCCACAAGTACCAAAATGCATTATAAAATAAATAAATCAAAGCGCTCCTCTTCAGATGAGATGGTGTGTGATGAGCATCAGCTGAAGGTGGATGAAGGGAGAGCTGCTCATTGATCTGAATGACAGGTGTGGCAGCAGACAGGAAGGTGGCTGCATGGTGTGTGTGCCAAGTGTGCAGAGTTTGATAAGGAGAGAGAGCCATGTGTGTGTGGCTAAGTGAGGCTGGGAGAGAGGGAGCCCGGAAACCCATGTGTGCGTCAGAAACAAACACAAGAAACACCCACTGTAAAAAATGTCATTACAAGTAAGCCACACTTAAAAAACAGCATGTCTTCTATTGTCGTGTGAATTCATTCTATAGAAGTGAAATCTAAAAAGCAAAGGTGGAGAAGAACTCAGATTCAATGTTTTAAGTAAAAGTCCTGCAATCAAAATGTTACCCAAGTAAAAGTAGAAAAGTATTAGCATCAAAATATACTTAAAGTACCAAAAGTAAAAGTAGTCATTATACGGATTGGTCCATTTCAGAATAATATATATGATATGTTTTATAATTATTGATCATTAAAGTGTTATTGGAGCTGGTAAAGGTGCAGCTAGTTTTAATGACTTTGTATACTGCAGGGTAGCTTGTGAATTTACTCCAGAGGCCTGTACTACGAAGCCGGTTCAACATAACCTGGATATGTTTGAGTTAGCCGGTTGGCCTAATCCAAAACATACGTGCTCTCGCTAAACGGTCCTACGACGCGGGTTATCAAGTGGATCGCTCAAGCCAGCCGTGTCCTATCTAGTTAGGTGCGCGTTCACATAAAAGGGGCGGGGTTAGCAACATTTGACCAATCACAAACATGGAGAAGCGCACTGACAGCGCAGCGTCATACTTCCTGAATGAAAAGTGAACTATAATATTAGACAAATATGAAGACGTTAAACTTTAAACATCCATGACTTAAACACTTTATCCAGGATAAAAGCCACATAGCTGCACCTGCAAGGTGAATACAGCTGGCAAACGAAAAAGTGTTTGAATGCGTACATTAACAGGTTTATGATATCACTGCCCCGTCGACACGAGTGGATCTGACTTTAATTACATTTGACTCGAGTGTTTCGTCAACTTAATGTGTTGCTTAAAATAATACTTCTGCATACAGTATGTGACACTGTAAGTGTTGCACGGCCAGATACGGCTCAAGAAGCTGACTCAGATAAGGAAATATATGATACATTATGATGTGATATGATGTGATATGAATGATAATGGGACACATCGACGTCTGCAATCACATTGCCACGGACTGTACGTAATGTTACTTTGATCCGGTTACTTATGTTGTGGCAGATATTTAAGTAAGCTTTCTTAACGCTAATGTTATAAGTCAGATTGCTCTGAAGATGGGAGGTGATATTCTATTCATTTTCACGTTCACACAGTTGGTGATTTTTGTCGGCCGTCTTTCCTGCAACGGCAGTTTTTCTGTATTTCCTCTAACCTGTAATATGACTTGATAGCTTTAAACTCCGCACACAGAGCTCTGATTGGTCAGCAGGCAGTGCTTTCACTGAGTTGATCTCTTAGCCTGCAACCTAACCTGCTCCAGAGCAGGTTAGCCGCTCAGCATAAGTTACCATGGAGATCTAGCCCGGTAAGAAGAGAACCAGCGTCGTAGGACCGGAAACCCTGAGTTTTCCCTGAAGTTATCCCGCTAAGCGAGAATTTGGCTTCGTAGTACAGGCCTCAGGTGTAACTAAAGTCTGATTTAAGGTTGCATTCACACCAGCCTTGTATAGTCCGGTTGAATCGAACCCTGGTGCGTTTAGCCGCTTGGTGCGGTTCGTTTGGGTCGGTGTGAACACAGTCCGAGACCTCTGAAGTGAACTAAACAACCGGACTCTAGTCCGCCTAAAAGAGGTGATCTCGGACCGCTTTCTAGTGAACTCTGGAGCGGTTCATCGCTGGTGTGAACGCAGTCCGCACCAAAACATAGGAAGCGTAGTATTTACGTGTCACAAGAACGCGGATGTCTTTAAAATCTTTAGCGAAAGAGTGAAGCAGAATGAAGTGTTGAGCCACCTGCCGTCGGTGAAACCCCCTCCTTACTGCAGAACGTCTCTCATTATATGTGTTATAATGTTTTTTATCGGACGTTGTCTGATTATATAATCATATGCGCCGTCTGCTAGAGTCCATTGATATGCTCTCCAGATTAATAACAGCATGAAAATAAACTGCCGATGCTCCATGGCGGAGGCTCCGGTAGAAATTGTCGGGATTTGCGTTTATACCCCCTTAATGTCGGTTATGGCTAGAAAGGATCCGTCTTGTGTAAATATGACGTCACGTTCTCGCCGGAGGGGCTCGGAAACACATCTACAGCAGTAACATGCAACATACACATTAATGCAGCAGCAATATTAATAGAGAAACATCAGACATAATAGTAAAACACTGAAAGGGAACATTTTATTGCACCAGGAGCTATCTTGGGACTTTTACTGCGACAACGTTGACTTGCCTGTGAATAAAAAATAAACCATAGTGTTGGTGATCTACAGTGTTGTCATTCTTCTTTGAACAGCAAGACCGCTAACACCCTATTTCAACAATCACACTCCCTGTAATTGACATAATTAATAGATAGTTTAGCTTCTCACCATCATTTGCTGTGGCCCACTGATGTTAACGATCGTAACTGAAAGGCTGCCTGCCAAACGTAAACATTCAGCCACGTGACTTGCAAACTCTCGCAAGAGTTTTACACCAGACGGATCCTTTCTAGCCATAACCCTTAATGTCTGACCAATTGTTGAACAGCATTTCCGAGCACATGACTTGTGTTTAAAGTTTATAGTCCGTTTGAATTTTGCCTGTGTGAACGCAAACCGAACCTTCTGAAAAATGAAACAATGTAACAAACTGTCGTCTGGTGCGCACCAGAGAAGCGGACTATTAGGTGTGAATGCGACCTAAAACTTGATTATATTTCACATCATTAATCCAAATGTCTAAAGTAACTAAAGGTATTAAATAAATGTAGTGGAGTAAAAGTACATGATTTACCTCTGAACTGTAGTAGAAGTACAAAGTAGCAGAACATTGAAACACTCAAGTAAAGTACCTCAAAATTGTACTTAAAGGTGGGGTATGTAATTTTGGAGAAACCAGCTCGAGTGCGCTAGAATTTGAAAATACACAACCGGAAAAAATCTGCCACTTCCTTACAGAGCCCCTCCTCCAACACACACACGAACGCGCACATGACCAATGAGGGCACGAGATGTGCACAGATGGAAGGCTGACAGGCAGGTAGGCTATCCAGTTATTTTAGCCGGGCCGGCTAAAATGATTGGTCGTGCTTTTTACAGCGCTACGGCTTCCACAGATGACATTTTTTTATGTATTTATTGTCAAAGCATTTAAGATATTCATTGCTATCGGGATGTTAAGAGCATTCCATGGAATATAACAAAAAGTGTTTCTGAAATAAATTACATACCCCACTTTTAAGTGCAGTACTTGAGTAAATGTGTAACTTTACACCAGTGTTGAGAAGTATATATTGTATAGGTTTTTCTCACTTCTGTCATTTTTTACACTGAGAGCCATTTGTTTTGATCAGTTGAATAAAAGCACAATTCAGAAAAGGACAAACCAAAAACATGATTCAAATGCATGCATTCAAATTCACTTTCCCACGTGTTAAGTGGTCCCCACACTGCTAAATGACTGGCTGATGTTTCTTGCAGTGTGCGGAGAGGCACCGCTCTGCCGGCCCAGCTGAACATCCAAATGCGCCCTCCCCTTTTCTGCTTTTATTTTTTGACACACGCCGTAGATCTGCTCTAATAGCCTATCGCAGTTACAACAGTCACATACACACAGACAAGGCTGAACCAAAAAACTACAACAACAACAAAAACCGCGCACCGATGGCGGTGTGAGGCGTTTGGCTGAGAAGTACGCACGGCGCTGTGGATTAGTGAAACCTTTTTTTTTTTTATTGGCATCTTCATCCTGTCTGGATCCTGGTCCCGGGGAAATAAACAAAGCTATGGATTACTCAGTCTGCTTACTTTTACTCCTGTCAACCATTTCGTCTGTGTCGACCGGACAATTCCCCACAGCGCAGATGTGAGTAAAACAGCCTGTTGGCTTTTTAGAAAGTCTCGGATAATATGCAATGTGGCCGAAAATACAGCATGGCTCTTTAAAGAGTTTACATTTTCACAGTGATTATTGTTTTTGTGACACGTTTCTGATAGAATAAATTAAGAGATATCTAATTATTGCAGTTGGTGGAACATAATCCTCGATGCGCCTCAGCAGAATCAGAAAGTGCTTCCTTCTTGCCAACTGATGATGATCGCACATAACTGTACTAAAGATACAACTTTACCCTGTGAAACATGATATTGAAAGCTCATGTCCGTTGGTTGCCAGCTAGCAGCAGTGACATGTGGCTCTCTGTCAAATGAATCATCCCACAGGTCTGAGGGGTCCCCAAACTTTTCCCACACAGGCAGATTTAAGCACAGTTTGGTTTGTTTGTGGATAAATCAGATTCAATTTACACTTCAGGACAGATCATTGAGTTTGTCATTGGTTTCACGCTGAAATACCACAATATTCACTGGTTCAAGCTGCTAAAGTTTGAATATTTTGTGTCTTTTGTGATGGTAAATTGAATCATTTTGGATTTTGTTGATTGTCAGACAATAAACGCAATTTAAAGAGGTGCCTTTAGGTTTTGAGGACTAGTAAAGACCCTTTTCCACTATTTTTGACATATTTGGAACCAATTATGAATACATTTTCAAGATAATTAATTAAACGTATAATCACAAAGCAATATTTGCAGACCATCTGGGAAATTTGGGGCCAGACTCACTCATTTCAGATTGATAAGACTCAAAATATGATCTGAAAACTCATGCCCTGCCAGATGGGTTATAAATGTAAGATAAAGTATCACTCCATCTAATTCTGACTCTCTATATTTGTCTCGCAACATTAACAGATCTAACAGATGATATATCCAAGATTAAACAAACGTGTAAGTGTGTGAGTCTGTTTCAGCCACCATGCTGCCCCTCACTTAATCAACAGGTTTGAGATATTCCAGATGGTTCTGGAGGCCGGACTACAGCGTTGGGTTTTGAATGCAGCCCAACACGGTCCCCCAGAGAGGTGGTGAGCCAAGATGGCACTCAGCCTAATGGGCGAGTACAATGATGTCAGACTAGCTGAGCGGCCTGCCCACTCCCTATATTTCATGGGCACTAAGTGGATTGATCTGTGGGTTGTGTACATGATATTCACGCAGAGCTGCAGACCCACTTTCACTGACACAGTTGAGTGGAATTGGCAATCTGGATAAAAAACCGATATTAAAATTCACAACAAGATTGGCAGGGGCTCTTCGTTTCAATTAGCAAACTTGTTTTATAAGAAAAGTCGATGCCAGAATCAAACTCCAAGGAACTCAGCGTCTGTATTTAGACATTTGCCAATTGGTATAAACATGTGGAGGAGAGGTTTATTGCACACAATACTCTCCCATTCCCGCTCTCTCCCTACGTTTTGAGTCTTACTTTCTGTGAACTCTTGTGGTGACGGTGATTTCGAGTGACAAGCTTCACATCGACTCCTCAAGGTTAGAGACTGATCCGGTCGGTTCCCCTCCAGGAAATTCAGAAATGTGGAAGTAGCTCAGCGTTAGTGTGACTCAAAGCAGACATTTGAACACGGTGTGTGTACTCTAGCACTGCCGTCTTCCTCCCCTCTCACCTCCAGGAGTGAGTGTATGTCTGGGCTCCATCTCTAACCTCACATGCCAGCATCTGTCTGCTTCAGATCTTCATGGCCCCCTCTCTTTCTCCCACCCTCTCTCCACCCCTTCTCACTATCTCCCTCATCGCTCCCTCCCTTTCCGCCTTGTTTGTCCCCTGTCCATCTCCTTTCCATCCTGCTCCCCATGCATCCCTTCTCTTATTTCTTCTCCGTTGCCCGAAGGCAGATGATTAACATCATTGCATCTGAAATGCAAAGTCTGATGTCATAGCCTTTTGCCCCAGAGAACTGGGCGCCAGCTTAGAGATAAGGAAGAGATGCACAGAAAAGATGAACAGTGAGAGAAAAAGAGACGACAAGGACATCCAGATAATTCAGCCTTCTTGATCCCATATGTCTAATGCATACGGACATTTGGCTGCATGAATTCTGCACGAGTCCCGTTTCCTGTTACCACCCTCACAGCCAAAAAGACAAAACATGTCCAAATCTTTCTGTCATCACACATGCCAACGCATTATGCTGAGTTCAGCCATCCAATCCAAGAATTGTTCATATGCTTTTTTGTTGGCTTAGGCTTGAGTCACCAACAGACATACTTTTTCTCTGTCCTCCTTTTATCCACAGTTTCTGTCACCCTCTGCTCCATTTCTCCCACTCTCACTTTTTTCTTTTTTTTAAAGGCTAACTAGATTTCATGCTCAACCAGCTAAAGAGCCATGCTCCTCGTGTTCTCCTCGTCTCTGGCGATCAGAGGGCATAATGTGAGGAGGCACTCCATCTGAACAGAGAGCATCATGGGCAGTTGTGAGCAGGGATAGTGTAAATATACAAATATAGAGTGGGTTCCTGAGATATGAATCTCAAGCAAACTAGGTCCAGAGTCCATAATCTCATCTAACGCGAAGCAAAAAAAGGACTAAGCATGTGTCCTAAAAGTCAAACTATTCCTCTGTTATGGTATTATTTTTTTGGGTTCTCCATCTGTACATCTTGAGAAAATGGCTTTACATTTCCCACAAACTTTGACTTAAGGCCCTGACACACCAAGCCGATTTCGGCCGTCGATAGATTCAGCTTAGCGAATCAGTGCATGAGAAGCGAAATGGAAGTGAGCTACGCAAACAAACAATTAGGCACACACAGACGGCTATTGTTTTTCATTTTCATCTCACCTGGACGCAATCATTTATTTGACATCATGGCGATGGAATGAAGAAACCGAAGACCAACTCAGTTGCCACGTAATTTGCTGCCACACTTCCTGCATGAGGTGGACAATAGCTTCTTCAAGTATTTAACAGACAGGACCCTGGACGATGTGGCTAATTTGTTTTTTTATTGTATTACTTACTATTTTGATCTTATTGTATTTTAGTCGATTGTTTACATTGTACAGTTCTACATTTGATAATAAACCACTTTTTACCGCTACTGCAAAATACAAAACTTTATTTCGTACCTTCATACTACAGCCATTAGATAACACAACATTAGAATGAGGATAAAATTAGCTATAGCCTACTACAATAAAAGTCAGAAGATACAGATGTACATGATGACACCATTTGCCTGTCAGTGTTATGATGTTGTATATTAATATAATATTGGATTATAATCACTGATGCATGGAATGTGGTAGCAGCAGCACTTTAAGGTTGCCAGCCACAATGCTTAAATAGTTTCTTTCTGCTTCAGAGAGCTGAAGTTTGTATCACGCAGTCTTCTTCTTCTTTACTTTAATGTATCACGCAGTCTGGGTGTTTCTCAATGTCGAGTACGCTTGCTTGGAAGTATTCTTGCTTCAGAAGCGAGGCAAGAATACTTCCTGGCATTCGGAAAACAAAGAGTGGAACACGCTAGCAAGTGTGCAGGTGTGCGTCATATGAGAGGCCCCGCCTTACATTTTCCGCCACAGATTTGGGGAAATTGGTCCGTGCGCAAAGCATTGTGGGGATTTTAAGACCGCGGAGTCTACACATGTGCAGCCTCGAAATTTCTCGCTACGAAGTACGCCGGGCTCGGTAGATTTCCAAGTATGCTGGAGATTGGAACAGTCCTTCGGCGGCACTCGATGACGTAGTATGCTTGAAATAGTGGCTCTGCAGCAGCTTTACTCGCGATTGAGAAACACCCCCTGTCTTCCGGTTGCCTCTTTTGAATGACGAATACACACTGCCGCCGCCTGCTGGTAAGGAGTAGAGATGGGCGAGTCCTGATTCATCCGGATCATTAACCGGGATCCTAGAAATGAGCTGGTCGTGACTAGGAATGGGAACGATTAATCGAATATTCGAATATTCAAAATTATTCAGGTATTCGAATAATTATTCAGGTATTCGAATATAAGTTATGAATATTTGTATGAATATATATATATATATATATATTTTTTTTTTGTTTTTTTGGGAGGGATGCCTAAGTTGATTACATATTATCAAATTGAATAATTCAATGTATACGACAGTGCCATAGCTAAATGTGTTAGGTGACGTCTAAAGGTGTGTTTTGCTCCGCTCACCGGTCCCTCACACCGGGCAGAGCTGCAGGTGCTGATCTCTCTCTCTCGCGTCCGGTACTTCACTCGCGTTTATGTCCAAATCCATCAGATCTAGCTAGTTCTAGCTAATGATATGCCTGCTGCCCCTGCCTACACGCAAATCACGCAGACTCAAACCTCATCTTATGCCCAAATGCGGCGCAAATGCGCTCCGCAGCCGTTGCGAGGTTCCGGCGCTAACAGTTCATGAGCGTGCTCCCCCGCCCCCTGTCAACACTCGCGACACATGAGTGGCCAGCCTAAACAACAATAAGCACTGCTTGGCAACCGTGTGTGGCGGAAAAGTACATAGACATTTTGACAGGAGAGATTTAGTTTTGCCGGTATTCAACATATTTTACCAGTCATAGTCCGGTAATTATTTACACTCTAAAGAGTCCTACACAACAGACATGGCGTCAAAAAGGAGTAATGTGTGGAAATATTTCGACCAGGTTAGTGAGTGCGGTGTGGAGTGCAAACTATGCCAAATTAAACTTATATATATATACACATACTATACTATACCTTGCTATACCCGCAACCTCCGTTCCAGCTGAGAGGGTCTTCTCTACAGCTGGCCTGATTGTGAATCGCCTCCGCACATGAAAGCTGTAGGCCTATAGCTGTCAAACTGTGATCACCAGTTCAATACATTTGACAAATTCGACTTGGTTTCTATACTTATTTGAACATGTATTTATTTATTTCCAAAAGTTATTGAAAAAAAAAAAAAAAAAAATTATAGGGTATGTACATTTCGATTAACCGGTTAACCGTTTTTTGGGGGGTCGAATATTCG